TTATGTACCATTAAACCTCATGCTTTAAAACCTCTGTCCTCAAATTATTATTGTTTAAGATAAGATTAGAATACAAACCATATTAAGGGTTTATTTCAATGGCGCCCAACGTAATAGGCTTGAATCAAAAGATTTCATAATCGTATGTTGAGACAATCTAATAGGCTAATTAATACCAATAGGCTAATACTTACGTACGTTAGGCCTACTCTTAAGAAGTTAGGTAGGATTAAGAATCCCGATTTCCCACAACTTATGTCCCACCAATATTAGGTACTAACTAAACTACTTGTAATTCTAAAAATAAATAGGCTACTATAAGGTAAAACAGATTTATTTCATGTCGTAAAGTTTAGGCCTAGCTCATTATTGTTATAACGATACCCAACTTGTCCTATAATATCCCTGTTCCCTTACACCGTCGTAAACAAAATGGCTAACAACGATAACGATAATCACTATAATTTGAGACAACCGAGACGTTATCCTGCATTATCATTTCAACAACACGAATCAGACGAATCGTCAAATCTGTCAACAGAAGAAATGGAAAACCTAACCTATGTAGAAGGCCAAGATGAATCTAACACCGGTTCGGGTTCGGAACGTTTCAATCCCAGTGGACCCAGTGTCGAAGATTTGAACCGGAACGAGAGCGACCAATCAGAATCAACGGACCGGGCCGAGATTATTGAAGTACACCAAAGACCCGCAGCCAATCAAAGCACACATTCACAGTCAGCTGATATTAGAACCACATCGACACACGGAATCATCCGAGGGTTAACGAAGACGCCCGAAGCAAGTTTCCAGCTGTTAGAGACCGAGTCTCCGACCATTGAAAACCGTCCCAATGACGTAATACCAACGTTCACACACGCAACTTCTCAACCACCTGAAGTTAAAGCTACGCAAACTAGTGAACAACCGGATTTGAACAAAATATTTAATTTTCTAGAACAGTTTAACACTAAACTTGATCAAACCAACACACAACTAAACCAAAAATTAGATCAGACCCGAATAGAGCTAAACCGTGAGATAAAATCATGTCAAAAAATTCTAACAGAACAAATAAATGACATTAGAACAACACAAAGTGAATTTCGCCAGGAATTAAATGTCCTAAAAGCTAACCAACAGTCCCAAAATCAAGAAAACAAAGAATTTCAATTTCAAATCACAAATCAAATTGACAAATCAAAAATAAATATCCAGACATTTGTAACTAATAACTTGGAACAACAAGAACAAAAGTTAGAACAAAATATGAAAGCATTAGTGCTACAAACAAAAACCGACAGTGAAAATATTGCTAAATATTATGCACAATCCATCCACAATGAAATTGTACCTAAATTACACATACAAAATAATCTTATCCAAGAACAACAAAACGAAATTAAAACTATTACTGAAACTCTAAACAAATGTGAAAGTGAAGTACAGTCACTAAAACTGAAACATCATTCACCAATCCGGAACGACAATCCTATTCAAATCATATGTTCGGGATCTGACCCAATGGAAAGACAAATCCCTAAATTCAATGGAAGAACTATAAATCCAAATGAATATCTACAAAAACTTAAACGGTTCTATGCTAAAAGGATAGAAAGAAATCCTAATAACGACCCTGTTGAAATTCTGAAAGATCTGCTCGACGTCAGTTTTGAAGGACCAGCGTCCAGATGGCTTCAACTGGTTAAGGCAGACATTAACAGTTGGGAAAGATTCTCCGAAGAATTCACCATGAAATACTGGAGCCGTGAAGTACAAAGAGGAGTACGTAGCAAGATTGAAGCCGAACATTACAAACCTAATGGAACGCTCAACAGAACTGAATATTTTACTGAGAGAGTCCTATTGCTACAGTCTATTACACCACAAATGACTGAAGAGGAAATAGTGATCCTGTTAAGCGAACGATTTGATCAACTCATCCAAGATAGCATTCAAGTACAGAACGTGACAACAATTCGAGCATTCGAAAGACTTCTGCAAAAAGAAGATATCCGAGATGGACCCAAAAGGAGCAAACCTGCGAACTACCATAATATGGATCACCGACCAAATAGTCCTACACATCGTAACAAGACTCCACCATATAGCTCTGATATTAACCATCGAGCCTATCAACCAAAAACATCATCTTATGCTATACGGACACCACACCAAGAACATCAAGAACCTAGAGAACACCAATATCAGCCATACAACCGTTTCAGACATGATCCTCGCAAAAACTACAATCAAAACCACAGACAGCATCCTTATACCAATACGCTCACTGATCAAAACCGATACCACCAAAGGCCTAATCAATACTATTACAATAACAGCAAACCATATCCTACAAATGAGCAAAAACAAGTATGTGCCATGATAAGTCAAGACAGTCCACATGACACAGCAACACAACAAAGATCTCCAACAAATTTCAACCCCTCATACACCAGCCAGGGAAACGACCCGTCGCTGTAGATGTAAGCCGAGGACCATCAACTACCAACATCATAACAACTACAGCGATATCAACAGCAAATATCCTCGAAAATAATTCTTTAAATAACCCTAACAATTTTTCGATAAATAATATAATGTGTGATCAAGATTTTTTATTAAATGAACCCACTGAAAATAATAAATTTCCTGTATCCAAACCAGTTAAATGCCCTGAAATAGATATTAGAATCAATAATCTCCCAACAAAAGCATTAATCGATACTGGTTCTACAATAACATGTATTTCCGAACAATGTTTCAAAGAGAATCAAAAAATAATTGAACCATTTGAAGAACTTCCTTTGTCTAATACGACAATAACTACAGCTACTGGTGAAAAATCAAAACGTGTTGCAAGAATCATTTATGCCCCTGTAACCATTGAACATCAGACCATCTGGCTTCAATTTCTTATCATCCCTAATTTAATTAAACCTGTGATATTTGGTATGGACACATTAACAGAACTCCGACTAAAGATAGATTCCAATGAAAATAAATTAAGCTTAACAATTAATGATACTGATATTAATCTAAAATGTGATATGAGTATTAAAATGGGACAAGTATGTCAAATAGATATAGGCAATTGCCAAAGGCCATATGATAACTACTATAACAATGAAGAAAACTATTTTACAATGTACAAAGAATATCACTTACCCAAGAAAGAACCACAGACCCACAATTACATGAAGACCTTCAAACCGATTTCCCCAATACTTGGACCATCAACATACCACATAAGTGATCTCTACAAAATTATATGGACCCTATCATATATATCCTCCATGAAGAAATACATTGAACCAATCTACACACCACAACCGAAGATAGAAGATAAACTGTAATGTGTGCTTAACCCTATAAACATTGCTGTAAAAGGGAAGAATTTTAAATCATACCCACACAAGCAGTGAGTGAACAAGCCAATTTCTCCAGTTACCTCTGTCCCAATAGTTAAACTATAGTCATAATCACAAATTTAATGTATTTAGTTATAAGAGGTTATCATCAAGCAATCACAGACAACTATTCATTTAATGTACTCCATGGTACCTATAAGAATCATACATCTCTTATATGTCTCATGTTCATTTCATATTTCAACATTTGTTCATCACTCCATTCATTTATTATTTAAAAAATAAAAAAAATTGTTTTAACCACTTAAATTAATGTTATGTTTTTTAATGTTTGTAGAAGATAGGAGGGGATAGTAATCATTTTGCTGTTTTAGAATTATTTTATTGTTATGTTCATTCCAACTGAAATTTGTTCTAGTTAAACCTTAATGTTAAGTTTGTTAGATTTTTGTTTCAACTCAATTTCATCTCAATATTTGTTATTTGCTGTATAATGTTAAATATATTTTTCGTCATTTAGCGAAAATATGTCATTAAAAATTTAATTACATATTTTCTGAGGGGATATTGTAATGACTCAAAATTCAATGTTTATAATTATAGTCCTTATTTTATTTTCAAACTCAATCTTGTTATATTTTCAATATTTATCCATGTCCATTTTTAATATTATTAAAACCATATTGTCTCAACATATATATAATTTACTATCAAAATTTATTCATTGGCTTATCCAAAATTATTATTCAAAAACAAATCCTCCAATCAGAACACCATCCATCTGGGTTCAAGATTATTAATAAAATACAACCATGTTTTATTTATGTGAACCCCATAACTTGATATGATTTACAACAAAAAAAGGAGAGTGCAGTTTAAAAGCATCCAAGAAGAACATAAAAGTTTAAACTCTTAATTGTGAAAATAATTGTCATATTATAAAAGAAAGTAGTGTCAAAATTTCTAAATTTTACTGAAGAAAGAAGAATTTAAGCCTTTAAACTAAGAAGAAAATTATTATTACAGAAGATTGGTGAGAACATTCCATTTTTATTAAGTTATTGACTCAGACTAGACTCTTCAAGCATCCATTTGGACCCAATTTACCTCTCTTAATTAAAATCAAAATCCTTCCTATTTAACTCATTGTTTCTAAAAGATTATTCAATTCATAACTTACCATAACTTACTTATTAAAAATTTAAATTTGAAATCTTTTGATTCGGCCAGCACGAATCCCCACCCCTGAACAATTTTTTGTAACCCTATTTTAATCATTTAACTTATGTACCATTAAACCTCATGCTTTAAAACCTCTGTCCTCAAATTATTATTGTTTAAGATAAGATTAGAATACAAACCATATTAAGGGTTTATTTCAAAACGTAATGCAAAGTAAGGGTGAGCAGGTACAGTATAAGAATTTAACTATACTTAATTTTAAGGGTGACGGGTAGACTTCCGTATCTGTTGTCAAAAACAACCGAATGAAAATATCGATTGACATATCGGTTATTTAATTGTTTCATTCAATATATCGTTTGGTTAGTTAGGCTAACCTAGACATCCAAACGATATATCGAATGCAGATCGAATCTAGACCACGATATAGTGCCTTCATATACTTACCAGATAGTTTAAAGGGTAAAGACTCTGCGACCCTTTGAGGATCTAGGTGAGGTCCAAACGGGAACGGTCGAGGCCCAAAATGAAACGGGTGGAACGGCTGGTGCCCTAAACAAACACCATAGCATTAATTTGCTAAAGTTGTATAAACTTAGTTGTACCTAAAAATAAACCATTGCAAAACTAAATTTAATTTAAAACGAATCCAAACCTAACTGTACCAGCAAATTGACTCTTCCATTTTTCTTATTATGATCTTCCACAATTATAATGGGTAAGCGATGGGAGTAAATATGACATTTTATGTGGGGGGGGGGGGGGGGGTAAATAAAATATTTTTGACAACGATTCTGGCAGAAATTAGAGTTGTTTAGTTTTGTTTATAGTTAAAAGTACAAAATATACAAAACTTTAATCAAAATCGTTCAAGTCGTCTTTGTGAAAATCAGATTTTCAGTTATTTTATGGGTAAATAAACATTAAAATTTTAAATAGGAAAAGTCATGAAAAAATAACATTGAGGGGGCTTTGTTTTGGGAACGATGTACATTTAGGTACACCCTGAACAATATAGTTGTGCAATGTATTAGAATAAAAGGACAGATCGATATTTAATATATCAAAGTTCATGTAGGACCAATAAACAAAAGACGAAATTGCTGATAACAGGGAAATTAATATCAGTATTAAGTTTATTTTTATTTAATTAGAAAACTATCCTAACTTCTTGACGATTAACTTACTTGAAAACTGTAAAGTGACATCCTACTAAAAATGTCTGCAGTCGATCTTTCCATCTGTTTGGTTCAATTTATATTCAGAACCCTCACATTATTCAACTCAAGTCAGATTTATACCTTAATGTTTACGTTTCAATAGCACGCTGTAAAAGTGTTATTGTTAAAAACATTAGAACAAATTACTTTTCCTACAGTTACCTAACAATGTACATGTTCTCTCTCTGATTTGAGAAAGCAAAGTGGCCAATTCGCTCATCAGTGAGACAATGTTACTTTGTTTACTCCAGATTTGCAACGTGAAGGCACGAAATAGTGAGCGCGTAACATGTAGGCAACGTCGTATGCGCGCGAAATACGTTGGCAGCACTGGCTGTAAATCAGCTGGTCAGCTGTTGTACTGTTGTATTTGTCACTTCACATTAAATGTTATATTAAAAGTTCACTTCTGTGTAAAAATAGGTTATGTTTCTTCACCAATTTATTTGTTTTATGGTAACTGTAGGAAAAGTATAATGTGCAACTCGAGTTGAAAGTACAATTGCCTCACTCGAGAAACCATTCCTCGCTCGCCCACGGCTCGTTAGTAAGGATTTCTCTCGAGTGAGTCAATTGCTCACTTTTCTCACTATTTGCACAAATAACTATTGGTTAGTTTCTTATGTGCGTTTTTGTGAACTGGAAATATCAACTGAAAAAAAATTTGTTTTGTTTGACAATTTGTATTCTCTAAGAGCTTGTGTAATGTTTTGTTTTGACAAGTACTATTTCTTTGATCACAACTTACTAACTTAATTCACGAAGGTACTCACTCGTCTTCGACCTAGGTTCCCGGGGTCCGTCCACCGTGACCTTGATGGCCTTGTTGTAGGTAGCGACTTGAGGAGGACAGGAGTTGAGGATGATAGTCAGCGTGAAGCTCTTCCCTGCAACAGAAAGAGGAAAGAGTATAGAGGATGAAGACATTCAGTAGTGGTTGCAGAGGTATCAATAAAGCTCGGTGAGAATTAACGTATAACTGATCGAAGAACTTTTAATCCATATTCAAAGATAATGTCGATGTCACCTTAAATTTACTTCAGATACTACAATAGACAGTTGATCTATAACTACCTGTCTCTACTACTAATTTTATTTAACTCAAGATGCGACTATTGATAATACCGTAGTTTTCATTATACTCTCATTTCAAGAACTTTCTTTTTCATCACTCCGCACAGAAAGTAGGTAGGGTTTTGATAACAGCTATTATCAAAGAAAGTAATCTTTTCCCAAATTGTAATTAGAACAAGAGAACACGATCGACTGATTTTCCCTTTTTCTAAAGGTACTAAAGGTAGGGTACTATCCCTTGCCCTCAATTTAGTTCTCCATTTGTCCACTAGCCCAAGTATTTGTTTAAAATTTATTTCTCTAATTTTAATCATCCGTTTTACTGTTTGGCATACGTTACAACACATACGGTTGGTACGTTGGTGTTGCATAAGTTGGTTTTGCTGTGTGTTTTAGCGTTTGGTGCATGTTTACTGCTCGGTAAAAATATAATCTTTGAAAATGAACTTATAATTTTTACGTTATGTAGGTTTGCTACGTCCTTGGCTTTACCTCGTACGTGAAACTCTTACATGCTCGGTTTCACCTCACACGTACATTTTCTGTTCCTTTGTTCAGGTTTGCCTTACAAATTAAACTTCAGTGAGTACCAGAAAATGACACTTTCAGCACTAGTAATGAAATACATTTTACTCAAAAGTTAGGAACAACTTAAACATGAACATAATGTCTACTTCGTTTAGTAATTGTGATTAAAGCTTAGAAAAACCACTTAACTAAATTCTCAAGGAACTCTTACACCATGTCAAAAACGTTTCATTTGATTTAAGAAGAGCTCGAGCTGGTAACATTAATGAAGTAGGTAAATAAAAAAATCAGTAGCAGTAAAGTTCCATGAAATAAATTTATAATCAAGATACCGTACTTAACTTGATGATTTATTACGTATTTACAAATAATCCCGAACACAAAAGTACTTTAAGCTGAGTATTATCTTAGCCAACTTGCCGCCGACATCACCAATTCCAGCTGAGAGTTGAAATAAACGAAGTTAGCAGTGATTGGATTAATCTCTGGCATTAAGAGTTGTCAGAACGCCTCGACGTGTGAGTGTTGCCGAAACTTTGATTTAATTTTATCTAACTTAGTCAATGGTTTAGCCACCCTTCCAAAGCTATTTGACACCAGACTGAGACTTTCCCTTAAGCGAGATAATAAGTTGGATAGTAGTAAAGAATGGAGACTTCTGGAGTGTACAAAAAGCCATCTTAAGTGGAATAGTAGGGTTTATAAACCAGATAATGACTTATTTTCTTGTTCTTCGTATTGTACCTATACTAAAAATTATGTCGTTTGCTATTAAAAGGGGGGAGGGCAGCACGCCTAAAAATAAAACAACCATGTTAAATTTTTCAAGTTAAGGTCAATTTTTCTAAGAAAGTATTAGAGTTAGGGACCTGACTAATTTGATGTTACTGAAAAGAGTTTATGATAATGAGTAATTACAGCTGGTAACTTTTTAAAATATCAATCGGTAATTACTTATTTTTTTTGAAAACAGCTGTTTTTATTAATTTATTTGTATATTTGTATATATTTCCAAAACTATAAAAGATGTTAATAATATTCTGATTTTTATATATGGTCTACAGTTTTTAAACTGCATTAGTTATTTAAAAATCAATAAAAACAGCTATTTTTTCAAAAGCAAAAAATTACACGATTGATATTAAAAAAATGTATTAGCTATTTATTAACATACCTCCTATAGTCCTGAGTTAACTTTAATCCTTTTCCCCGAAAAATGTACCTCAAGTTGAAGAAACTAACATGGGATAGATAAGCGGGCAGAACCCCCATATTGTATGTCTTCTCTTAAAAATGCATGTTTGAAATATAAATCGGCGAGTTAAGTATGTATATAGATAAAAATTAAATCTCAATAATGTATTGTTTATGAATTGTGCTCATATTCAATTGTACATGATACATTAAAAATAAGTCTGTATTATAAGGAAAATGGGTGCTCTCTATTACTGAATTATCTTATTAACTTAAAAACGTTGTATTAAATAATGAAATGTAAGTAGAATTAGCCGCTAACGTTAATTTGTACAGTGTTTTGTCCAGTGTGGTGTGAACGAGTGCAAAGTCCACTAGTTACACAAATAACTATATATTATGTCACAATACTACTACGTGCTGAAATTAAATATTTGGATCAAGTTGTACACATCCATTTCTTTAGTTTTGACTGTAGCCGATTTTGTTGAACTTGATGAATCTTAACCATACTTCTTGCTGTTATGTGTAGGTACAAATTGCTTGTAGCAAATACATCCAATGTTATAATGATGCCTTATGCTACGAGTCGTCTAACTTATTCAGCAAAGGTGTATATTGCATTGTGAAGAATGTAGAGGCTGATAATGTACACACCGAACTGTAACAGACATATGAATTGTTTTGTGAAGAGTTCTGAGTGGAATTGAACGAGACAAGAACTGGACGTAGAAAGCCCTGTCTGACGTAGGTAAATCGATCCCAGGTCTAGGTTTTTCCGTGCCGCCTACTTTTTTTAAATTCAGCGAAATATTAAAAACTAATATCGATTCTCCTAAGTCTCGACAGAATTGTTTGACGTTTTCTAACAACAGGATTACAGTCCCTTGTAAATGTAAGAATTTGTTTAATACTTTATTATTCTTAACTGCCATACAACTAATTTAAATTATAATTTATTGAAATATCTGGAACCTTCAATCACAGAAGAAACGTTTAGATTTGCTTAGATAATTATATATTTTATTTATCAGAATTATTTTAGTTATGGTCCAAAACACGCAAGACATATTATCTTTTGAAATACAGAGCAAATAAAAGTCAGGTACCTTTCATCAAATTCATTTTTTTGCAATTCTAGAGTAACTTAATCACTAAACTTGAACTGGCTCTATACAAACGCTGTAAGAGTAAAAATTTGGACTACACTTTTGTACTGAGCAATGTTACTATAAAGTTGTTGTTTTTTGTATATAAAACGTTTAACTGAAATAGTAGTCTACTCATTTGTTGCACTGGCTATAAATATATTTTAAATCAAGATCCAGGATCAGCATCTAATAAGAAGTCAATTTTGTATGTGTACAATTTATTGGAACATTCTACTTTACAACTGAAGTTGATTTCATGGATTCACTGAAAGTCGAGGAGATTGGCTAGTTTGATATTTTGTTGACTATATCGTTGGCTTTCTTCTTCCTAAAGAAGGTGATGCAGTTAGCACCTGCTGGTCCGAATCCGTATGGCTTGTGTTTCATAGTGTTCAAGTAATACGTCCCTCTGGCACTGAAACAGATACAGAGTAGTCAGTAACAGTGGTGGAAACTTGAACTTTTGAAAAACAATTTATTTAAATTTAACAAGTTACAACAATGTTGACAAATAATCTGATTTAGATTTACTGGTTGAGTGCTGTTACAGCCCGAATTAAGAGTACTTGTTTTTGTTCGACTGGCTTGTACCGTTGCCTGTTTGTACTTATCTAGTCAACATCATTACAAGACTATACAAAATGAAGTTTTATTGTAGTGAAATTAATATACCATAGACAAAAATAATTAAATATAGACTGTCAGCCGTGCAGTGGTTACCGTGGTTACGATAGGTTCTGGCGCACACCGCTGGGAGCGCGTGTAGTTTCGTAGCACGTACGCCATAACTACATGGTGCTCCCAGCCGTGTGCGCCAGAACCTATCGTAACTATGGTGACCACAGCAAGGCTGACAGTCTATTTTTCATTCTTTTGTCTATGGTGTTACTCACCCAGGAGCTGGTGGGAATACGAGTGAAGTCTTTTCCGCGAAACTGCAGAAACACGACGAGAACATAAGATAACTGCTGCATTTCCTCGCAGTCCACAACTCCGGGTACAAAATGACATACCAGAATAACGTGACAGACCTTCGATGACTACACAAGATGTTGGTACCTAAAAAATATTGTATGACAAATATGCGGAAAACAATACTAGTTGCAATTTGTATCAAAGGTGGTGGACGTAACTTAAACGAAGATGCGGAAATCCATTTCATATGATGTTTAAGGAGAAATGCGTGTATTTAGGTTTATTTGTTTCATTAGATTTTGAGCTTGTGTCTATAAGTCTAAAGTCTAATACAGACTTCATTAAGTAGGTGGGTAGGATTCAAAAATGATTTATGAAACATACATAACAAAGTAAGGTTATAAAACGTGAAATTTTGCTCATCACTTTTTAAGTATTCCAAATATTTGTATTCGTGAACAATTGATTTAAATTCATACATAGACCTGACACAAAGTACTTAAAAATCTTTGTAGTATGTACGTATGCAAGTTCAGATATACGCAGCTACAGAAAAAAATGTTTTCCTAAGTACCCATAAGACTTGCTATTGACAAGTAGATAGTCTTATAGTAGTATTGCTATTGACAATACGGTACAGTTTTGTTACGATGACAAGATTCTCCTGTGTCAAGAATTTTCGTTGTCAAAAGGTTCCGAAATGGCGTGTGGGTGTTGATCGCATCTACTCTCTATCACCGTGTACAAAGAGTGACATCCCTCCTCTGTCCCCCGCCAACCGTGACGTAAAACATTCGGAACATCTTGACAACGGAACATCTTGACAACGGCACATCTTGACTACGGAACATATTGACAACGGAACGCCATGACAACGAAACACCTTGACAACGGAACATCTTGATATCGAGAGATATCGTGGCGTTCCTGCAGTTTTACTGACACATTATCGACTAGCAAAGCTAAATAATATATGCAGTCCTGCTTTTAGTTCAGTCGGAAAAAGGATCAGATCACATATTAGC